AAATGGCTTTTCTGTACCCCTGTCAGCTAGCAAAAGTCTTTTAAACAAAAAATTTTTTACTCAGAACAAAGTTAAAAATTTTTTAATAGAAAAAAATTAATTCTAATTATATATATATATATATAAATATATAATATATTCTTCGCCTATATTTATAATGATCACACTTTATACTTTTAAAAATAGATAATTACAGTATCAAAATTTAAATGTTAAAAGAAACATTAAAGTTTCAGCAAGAGAAGCACCCTGACGTTATTTAGAGAACTGCATTTCTTGTAAATTGCTATTGATCTGCATTCTGTGCATTTCCATGAAACGTGACTCTTCGCGTTGCCAAGAGTCTTCCGCGCTATTGCAACAGAAGAAAATTTTGATCATATAGTTCATTGGAAAAAGCTGAAGAGTACTGTCGAATGAAAACGTCGGCACTCGAGAGCACCTCGCCCTGAAAAGTTTGGAAACGTCGTTCGTCGTTATACATGTATATATCTATATCTGCAGAAGAAATATCGTCGGTAGGTGAACTGCCGTCTGTGCGGCGAAAATCGCAGAGAGACTTTTCTAGCCGGAAAAGTCGCGCGTAATCGGCGGAATAATATTCGTGCCGTTGTTCAAACAACCGGGACTCCGGAACGGTTGAGGCGCGGGAGAAGGAGAATGAAGGAGAAAAATCGTCATGTGAGAAAATAAAGTGAAGTCGGGAAAGCCGAACGGTGTTCCGCGTGTACCTCAAAGGAGGAAGGGAAAGGGAGAAAGGGGGAAATCGTCGGAAGACATATGTCGCGAGAATTCCTGCGCGAGCCGGTATGCGGTTGAAAATTCTGCGGAAATGGATGTATCGGTGCCGGGCTGCCGGTCGCGACGTTGACGATCGGGGTCGACAGATGCGCGCGCGGCGCTCTCGTTTCTCTCGGATTTTCGATGCATGCGGAATGCACCGGAGGCGAAACATTATTTACATCTTATGCGAGCGTTGGCAACTCCGCGGATTGGAACCCCCTCGATGCGCTTTGGCTGCAACGCTTCGTGAGAAACGCCTGCCGCCAGAAAGAGAGATCTACACGATCTCGCCGCCGAATGTGGAGAACGTCTTCTATATTATGATGGCTCTTCGTCGTGAAACGTATTCGCGCGGCCTCGTTATTCGAGCGAGGCAAGTCATGTCCGTCCGAAACCGAATCGACCGACACAAGTCGAGAAATTTTTAATTTGAATTATACATGCGTAAGTATAACGCGTATAAATATAAACAATATGTCGCAATCAATGCAATTCGATCACAATAATCGAGTCGGGATAAAAGGATGACGTTTAACATTGCATAATTTCCATATTGTAAAGCAAAATTAGTAAAATTTTGTTGCAGCAAACTACTTCCGCTTTCTATGCATTATCTCAAATGTGAAGTAATGTTTCGCAAAAAGGGAAATAGCTTCCTTAGCAATATTCTCATAATGGCTAACACAGCGCTGAAATAATATTCGCTTCGTCTTTAAAGCATGCTTGGCACGTTCGACTGGAAAATGTAATAAGGTAAAAAATTGAGCGATACAGCAAAGAAAGGCAAGAGAAATGTAAGTGTAAATAGGATGAAATATTTACTAATTACATATTTTTACTCATAGCTGTTTCTTGAACCTGTTTTAGATGCGTTATTTGTATAAGCAAATGTATGCTTTAAAGCTTATTTTTTTCCAATATATTATAAACAGTTGCTGCTTTAATAATTAACGTTTATGTTATAACAGCAACTTACTTTAAACATAAAATATGCACGTCGTTTATAAATATAAATACGTGAAAATTTGACGTTCAAATTTAAAATTTTTTATACGAATAAACCGGGCTAACTAAGAACCAGGGCGGTAAATGATGCGCGAAAGTTTTTTAATTTATATATTTTTATTTTACATATTTTCCAAATTTTTAATTTTATTTTTAAAAAAGTTTTTAATGCGTCATTTAAATTTTCGGTGAATATAATTTTCAGTATTAAATATCGCAGAAAAGATTTCGCAAAAGGTATATCTCGTACGCGCTTCGTTCTTGAAAAAGAGTCTACCCTCGGAGGAAGTCGTAAGACGACTGGGAAGATCCCGTGAGAATAATATCCACCTCTCGTTGTTCAAACAACTGGGACGAGAGGTTGAGGCGAGGATAGAGGTGGTTGGAAAAAAGAGCAAGAAACGGAAGGCAAAATGGAGAAGTCAGAAACGTGCAGCTTCGGGTACAATAGAACGTCATCTACAAAGATGTTAGCAAAACATACATCGAATGTTCTGCGATGAAGTATGACATTCTGGGAGAAAAGAGAACTTCTTTCAAGACGTTTACGAAAAAATTATTAAGCTTATGGTAATTATAGGAAGAATGATATAATAACATCTTACGTCATGGATTTACTATTTTCAATAACAATTAACATAAATGAAATTAATAAAGTTATATTGCAGCATATAACATGTTGTTATATCAGCTTTGTAAGACCTTTTAACGCAATATGCCAAAGACTAAGACTAGAATATTCAAAAAATTGGTTAAAAAATAATATGACGAAGATTTCGTTATTATAACGTATATGCGGTATTTAAGATACACATTTTAGAAACCGTTCTAAAGTCACCAGTATTACTTTACTATTGTTTGAAACTTAAACGGATTGCATTACAGTCGGCTAGCGAGGATCTGTGAACTACTTGGTGGGCTATATCATGAAAGATTATCGAGAAAGAAGAAACTGTCGTTGAAAGAAGTCGTTGAACGACTTGGCGGGCCGCTCGGGAATAACGTTCTCTCTTCTCCTGCGTCGGCAGGGAAAAGCGCGGCTAGACAGAAAAGTCGTGGAAGGTCTCGAGGTACGGATACGAGGGAATGTCCGGGATGTATGTACGTACATACGTCGAAAACCTCGAAAAGTACAGCAGAAATTCTGTGAAAACAGACGTCGACGATCGAGGTTGATGGATGCACCGCTCCGCCCGCCCCGTGCATTTTAGGGCTCGCCGCGAGCCCGAAAGTCTGGCTGCGCGAGAAGAATGCATCGCAAGCGAATGCCACTTGCGAGTCTCGCGCGTTTCTGCCTCAGTGACATGGTGAATATCGGCTCTTTTCCTCCGTAAAATACGCCCGAGTTACTCTCGCGATGGCGCAGTGCCGCATACGTGACAAACATAATAGAATTTTTGATTTCCGAAACGAGAGGAGGGATTTTTGTTAGAGTGCTCTGTCAGGGATTTCCAAGTATTTTTTTTTTAAGTTAACGT